TGAGGCCAGATTGGAACTCAGAAAGATGAGTCTTCCTGACTTCACGCCTCGCACTCCATCTATTGCACCACGTAGCTATCTGTAAAAGTGCTTAATATGCTTCTGATAATAGTTTCCACACAGAAAATTGGCCCTCTTTCTGATGATATGTATAGGGATATAAACTTTGGAGCAGGATCTTTAGGGAAATTACCTGCAAAGATCTATAATCCTACTGCAGAAATCTCCAGCATAATATCCTTTTAGAAAGTACTATGTCTGGTATGTGGTCATAATATGGCAGCTATGTGATAGCATATACCTAGGATATATGCTTCTGGGGAGGCTGAGTTGGTGGATCACTTGAGGCAGGGAGTTGTAATTGGCAGCCACTGACTGCTGTTTGGTCTATTCTCATTTTCTGGGAGCCCATTGCCTGGATAAAGTTTTCTGCTTCTCTTCTAGCTATTTACTCTTTTTTCAATTCTTTCCTCAGGAGCTTTAATTTCATTTTTTTTTATCTATTGCTTCTTTGTTTCCAGATACTCTTGTAGTCCTTATAGAAAATAGTTTTTCTTTTTTTCTTTTGTTTGTAGTTGTTACAGATTTACTCCTTTGGGAAGGAGGATATCTAGATATAAAATAATTTTTATACTGGTCAGTATTGTCTTTAATTCACTCATGTCTCCAGCTTTGGTTTCTTAATTCGACTTTGTGCCCGGGCCAGGCTCTGCTCCCTGCTGCCCTTTTAGGTAGAGTGGTTGGCCCTGCTTGATCTTACCCTTAGTTCTTATGCCTCCCTCTGCTTCCTGGGATCTTCAGAGCCCTCTATGAAGTCTCAGGCCAGAGTGCCAGGGACCTCAGAACCCCTGGGCTCTCTTAGAGTCTGAGTGTCACTACATCTCTCTGGACACTGCTGCTTCCTAGGATCTTCTGGCCACTCTGGGCGTTTCTTAACTCCCTTTATCTTTCTCAGGATGGTTCCTCCACTCTCATCAACTCTGAACAAAGACCTTTGTTTGCTACATGTAACTTCATTGAAGGCTGGTCATGCTGGGAGGCTGGGCTTGTTTGCTTGCACTGGCACTAGCTTTACCAGTAGCTCCCTTTCCTATTTCCTGCAAGCTTCTGGCTGACTTTTTATGTGTGTAGTTCTGTGTGGGAGAAGTAATTCACTGTAGTTTCTCATTGTATTTCTTAATTGTTATTAGGTCATGTGCAAATTTCAGATTTTTACTGAAGTAGCGTTTGGGAACTGGGCAGTCTGCTTCTCTTTGGGAAGCCATCTTGTTAAAAAGTACAGAGATTTTATATACATATATATGTATATACATATATGGAGAGAGTATATAAAATAAATTTTTGTTGACAACTTTGGGTTTTTACATCACTGGAATTTCTCCCAGTATTCTTTTCCTTCTCTTTCCCCTTCCCAAAGTATCATTCCATGTAGTAAATTATATTTCTAAATAAAAAAGAAAGAAAATAAATCAGCAGACCAATCTATACATCAAAAAAGTCTGAAAATACATGTAGTATACTGCATCTGGGTCCTCTGTAAAGCAATGGGGTCATATTCTTTATAATTTTTCAACATTCACCTTGAGTTATTTTGTGATTCTTCTTTCCACTTACACTGTTGTATTCATCACATATATTGTTTTCTTGGCTTTGTCTACTTCATTCCACAACAGAGTATGTCAGTCTTTCAATGCTCCTCTGTCTTCATCATTGTCATTCTTTCCTACAACACAGTAATATTCTGTCACATTTATGTACCATGATTTGTCTAGCCATTCTGCAGTTAATGGGCATTTACTTTATTTCTAGTTCTCTGTTACCACAAAGTGTTGTAATAAATACTTTGGTGTTATATGGGGACCTTTTTCTTATCAATGACCTCCCTGAGGTAGAAATCTAGTAGTTGGATCTCTGGGTCAAAAGATATGAATATTTTAGTGACTTTATTTGCATAAGTCTAAATTGTTTCCCAAAAATGGTTATACCAGTTCCCAGATTCACCAGCAATGCATTAATGTGCATATCTTCCTACAACCTATTCCAGGTTTACTATCTTGATCTTTTGTTATCTTTTCCACTTTGCTGGGTATGAGGGGAGACCTCAGAGTTGTTTTGATCCCTATTTCTCTTTTTACTAGTGATTTGGAACATTCTTTTATATGGTTGATAATAGTTTGTGATGCTTCTTTTGAGAACTGTTTGTTCATATCCTTTATTTATCTATTGGAGAGGGATTATGTATTAATCAGACTTGTGTATGTTCAGTGACTAACACATTTTGTGTTTATTTTATAGTTACACTACCATTTTAAGTATATCGTCAAATTCAGTAGAACAACTTGACGGGATTTAGAGCTAGAAAGAATTGTAGAGGTCATTTAATAAGAAAACTGAGACCCAGACATATTAAACAACTTGTTCAAGATAGCATAGAATTGGAATCCAACTCTTTTTGCATCGAAGTCACAAGATCTTTCTTTAAAAATATCAGTAAAGTTTTTTGATGCCTTTTTTTTACATTATCACTTCTACCGAACCCCTTTCCCAATAGAACCTTTCTTTGTAATAAAGAAACTGTATGTTTTATTTGCTTATATCATCAATGTTTGGATTTTTTTTTTTGCTTGAATGTACTTATGTTAAAAAAAGGCATTTTTTTTCTTTAAGGACAGCTATGAAAGGAAAGTGGGAAGGGGGAGAGTAATAATGATGCAAAAAAAAATGAATAAAGAACACCAACGAAGCATTTAAAAAGTACCTAGAAGTGTATAAAATTAAGTTCAGAAGGGAATACAGAAAAGTAGGGAAGGGTTGTTCTACTGATCAAATTGAATAGGTCTAAAAAGTCCCAATTTCTCAATAAGGTCATTCTAAAAGGGGTATGGGGTGGGGATAATTGGCAAACAACCCCAAGAGGTACATACAGGACAAATTGTATACAGTTAGAATGAAGATCTTTTAGCCCAGGGAGGAAAAAAAAAAAGCTTGTAGCTGTGTCTGCAGGAAAGATTGTTCAAGGACAAGCCTCTCCCTTTGCTTTCTGAAAAGAGTCTTGAGTCAGATGACTCCTTTCTGGTAGAAGCAGATCCCTGATACTGAAGTTTTTGGAAGCTTTTCTATCTTTTGATCATTTACTTATTGGGAAATGGTGGACTTAAGTCTTAAGCAGACTTTCTATATCTTCAACACGTAACACAGTGCTCTTAAATATTTGTTGATGGGAGGATTTATATGACCAGATGTAAAGAAAAGATTTCAAGAATTTGAAGTGGAGTATATATACCCAATGACTACAATGATGAACAATTCCCTAAATATACAGCTAACCTCAGGTTAAATGTTATGACCAATATTGGTTCCAGAAGAGAGATGATGAAACACATCTTTCTTCTTTTCTTAGAGATGTGTGCATAACGGGAAGAAGAGGAAACTACTATGGGGGTAAGAAACTGCATATACCATCAAACCCCATTGCCATCTTTGTTGGTTTTGCTTGCCTTCCTTTCTTCTTTAACCCCTCTTCCTTCTCTTTTTTCTTCTTGAAATTCTAAGGGGCTGGATTTGGTATTAAAAACACAGGAAAGAAATAACATTTCAGGTGTAAAATTTAATATATATTTAAGCTACCATTTTAAGCATATCATCCAATTCAGTAGAATGGGACTTTAGAGATCATTTAATTAAGAAAAGTGAGACTCAGGCATATTAAACAACTTTCTCAAAATAATACAGGTTATTGACTAGCTTTTTTTCACTATTCCAACTTCAATTTTTATTTAAGCGCAATAGAAATGGGCTGTCTTTTTTAAAGACAACCTTAGACAACTGTCTGGCTGATTCTGGTATATTCCTGTCCCCAATGGAGGGGACTATGTCAACCTACAGGTTCTTCGTCGTTCAGCGCCATCCAGCCGATTGTCTTGAAGTCCTGCCACTTTGTAATAGAATTCCTGCCAGCAATGCTGGGCCACATCGCCACCTCCTGGACGTTTAAACAAATGACATACTGTCCTGAGCAGATTTGGGGAAGGGAAAAAAAAAAGGTGGTGGAGGGGGTGTGTGTCGGTGGGTGGGGGGTGGGGGGGGGAAGCAGCACTTTTGTGAAGATTCTAAAGACCTAAGCAAAGTTTGGTGCCCAGGGCTTCTTGCCCCAGTGGAAGCTTTTCTCCTGTAACACTTTTGTAGCGATGTAGCCCTCTCCAATCTACTGTTTCAGCAATATTTCTGCCCTGGAAGTCCTTCTGCTCTCAACATCAGCCCCACTCCATGGTACAGGGTAGGGAGTGCTGGATTTTGAGCTCGAGAATCTGTTTTTCAAATTCCTGGGTGACCCAGGGCAAGTCATTTAAGCTCCCTAGGTCTTAGTTTCCAAATAGAGTTGGATTAGGTGACCTGACCTGGAAGGTAATGTTATCGAGCCTTTCTTTATTTAGTGCTTCACATGCTATCTCATTTGATCCTCACAACTGCCATGGCTGGTATGTGCTACTATTATCCTCCATTTTACAGGTAAAGAAACTGAGATTGAGAGGTTAAGTGACTTGTCCATGGTCATACAACCAATGACTAAATGCAATATTTGAACTCGGGTCTTTCAGGCTCCAACTACAGCACTTACTTACCTAGTACCCCACCAGGGCTGCATCCAAAGTATCTTTCTCCTTTAAACTTACAGTCCTTTCAGGTTGTGATATTCAAGTCAAGCCAAGTCTATAAACATTTATTAAAACCACCTACTTTATAAGAGGCTCTGTTGTGAGTCCTGGGGATACAAAGAAAGGTCAAAAACAATTGTGACCTTCCTCAAGAAGGTCACATTCTAAGGGGCGGATATAACTGGCAAACAAGCTTGCTGGAGATATAAGGGATAAAAACACAAGATCTTAATGCCCAAATTATAAAACAAGCTCGTAGCTGTGCCTGCAGGGAAGATTGCTCAAGGGCGAGCCTTCCCCTCTGCGCTCAGAAAAGAGGCCTCCCTCTAGAGTCAGGTGACAGACGACTGGTTTAAAGGCGGAAGAGGGAACGGAGCGGCGGCCCGAGTAGCGCAGGTTTAGTCCTCCCTGAGTGGTGGAAGCACTGCTTTATTTGTTGCCGCTCCTCTCCGGTGGAGGGAACATGGGTCGGGGCCAGAGGCCGGCGGCGCGCCCGGCTCTGCTGCAGCTCCTGCTGCTCCCGCTGCTCCTGCCAGGATGCTCCGCAGAACCCAAGCGCTACGAACCCACCTGGGAGTCGCTGGACGCCCGCGAGCTCCCCGCTTGGTTCGATGAGGCTAAGTTCGGGATCTTCATTCACTGGGGCGTATATACCGTGCCCGGCTTCGGAAGCGAGTGGTTCTGGTGAGCGCGCCTCTGTTTCTTTTTCTTGGTCCTCTTTTGAATTCTGCTTCTCTCTCTCTCTCACTCTCCCTCCCTCCCCCTCTCTTCTTCTCTCTATCTCCCCCTCTCCCTTCTTCTCTCTCCCTCTTTCTCTCCCTCTCTCCCTCCTCTCTCTCTCTTCCTGTCTCTCTCTCCCCCCCTTCCTCTTTCTCCCTCTCTCTCCCTCTCTTTCCCTTTCTCCCCCCTTTCTCTCTCTTCCTCTCTTCTCTCTCCCCGTCACCTGTACACTTTCGCTACCTCTTGGATGCCACCCCTCTGCTGCTCATCCCTTTTACTCCTTTGTGTCCCACCTGTTCTTGCTGTAGTCCTCCTTTCATCCCAGTATACAGATAGTTAATGATGCTGTGATTTTTATTGAATGCTGTATACTAATTTTTATACTTTTTTCTCCCTAAGACTTCAAAAGCATTTTTCGAATATCATCGAATATCATCATTGGTCCTCACACAAACCCTTTGTAGGGAGCAACAGTTAGTATTAAGTGCCTACTATGTGCTAGGCACTGCAAAACTGTGGGGACACTAAAAATTTTTTTAGAGACACAAAACACCAGCCCTTGCTTTGACTAGGAGCTTACATTCTAAGAGGGGAAATAATCTCTGAGATAAGGTACTATGGTGGTGGTGGTGGGGGGTTGGGTTTGAAAGGCCTTATGCAGAAAAGTTGGATTTGATTTGATTCATGAAGGAAGCCAGGAGACTAGAAACGAAGAGACACAGTGTTCCGGGTGGGTGTGGGTGTGGGTGTGGCAGGGGAGGGGGCTTTGAAAGACCTCGTAAAGAAAAGTGGGGTTTGATCTGAGTTTTGAAGGAAGCCAGGAGACAAGAGACAGTGTTTCCAGGCTCAATATATGGGCAATGCCTTGTGTGAGGACCACTAAGTAAGCCAATGTAATCAGATTGTCCAGTAAAGATGTAAGAAGACTGGAAAAGACAGGCGATAAAGGAATTTATATGCCAGAGGATTTTATAGTATTTGATCTAGGGGATAATAGTCAGCCACTGGAATTTATTAAGTAGGGGTGTTATGTGGTTTAATTTGTGCTTTTGGAGGATCACTTTGGCCACGGAATGGAGGATGGCCTGATGGGATATCCTCTTATCCAAATAGGAAATTTGGGACAGATAAATGGAAGAATGGCTAATCTGGGACTTAAGTATTTGTCTCCCATATCAGAGATCGGTTATGGTCTTGGAAATAGATAGAGGCGGTGGTCTATCTACTGCGCCACCTAGCTGCCCCCTTTGGTACTTTTCTTGACAGAAAATTTACTTTTATGGATTTAGGGCTGGAAGAGACCTCAGAGTTAATCTTGTCATAGAATCATAGGACCGAAGTAGGAAGGGACTTTCAAGGCCATCTAGACCCAAACTTTCATTTTATATTTGAGGAAACTCAAGACTAGGTAAGGTATATGGGGGATGAGGGTGTGGGGGGGGTGGTTCTAGGGTCAGATAGATAAAGTGATTTTTCTCGATGTAGCTGCAATGTATGATTGGGTCTTCCTTTTGTGAGACATTTCTTACCGAGTTTTATAGTTACAGAGGTCTCATGATGCTTCTTCCATTTTCCAGTATCTATTTCTTTGCTACTAATCAGAGTGGAGGTGCAAGAAATAAACACTGAGATAAGGATCAATTTATTAAAAATCATTTGGTTTTATTTCTACCAGTTATCACTCCACTTAGTCAAAACTGTAATAAGTGGCATTGCCAAAAAATACCCTTAAGTAAACTTGTCTAAAGACACAAAACACATATCATTCTTAAACTCCTTTATGAAAATGGACAGGGTGGTAGGAGGTATAAGCAAAATGTTGTACTTTATGGGATAAATGGATTTTTCAAGAGAATTGGAAGGTATAAGGAGGGGCAGCATGATTCAGTGAAAAGAGCCTTGAATCTTGAGTTGGAGCACCTGAATTGTAATCTCTGCTCTGTGGGGATTCTTCCACCTTTCCTGAAGTCACTTCTCCTTTCTGGGCCACAGTGCCCTCATCTGTAAAAATGAAAGAGTTGGATTAGATGAACTCTAAGGTTCCTTAAAGCTCTAAATCTATGATTCTATGAGTTATGCTGCATATGAATAGGCAGACCATTCAGAATAAAAAGTTTTTTTTTAAGGGGGGGAAGGGTAAACAAAGAAATCTATTTTATTTGGATATTAGTCTGGATCATTAGAATATTGAAATGATATTTCTTCACTATGTAAAGGATCCATATAAACCCTCTAAGGGCAGGGATTGTTTCATTTTTGTCTTTGTTCCCTTGCACTTAGCAAAGCAACACATAGTAGGCACTTAATAAATGCTTGATTTCGTCTGTGAAGTTATCCCCTTCACCAGAGAGGCTTACAACAACTAGAAGAGGGAAAGGGGTATTTATTAAGGACCCACTGCGTGTCAGGTACTGTGCTAAGTGCTTCACAAATATTATCTCATTTGAACCTCCCACCAACTCTGGGAGGTAGATGCTGTTATTATTACCATTTTACAGATGAGGAAACTGATGCAAAAGATTAATTAAGTACCTTACCCAGGTTCACACAGCTAGTAAGTGTCTGAAGCTAGGTGTGAACTCAGATGTTCCTTATTCTAGGCTCAACTCTCTATTTAATGCACCACCTGGCTGCCTCTTAATATTGCCACAAGGACCGTGGATGGTTTTGACTCTAAAGTTGCTCTAAAAATTCAACTAAATTCAACAAGCATTTATTAAGTACGTTCTGTGGGCCGTGTTCTGGAGACCGGGGGTACAAAAACCAAAACCCAACGTCACTGCTCTTAAGGATCTTATATTCCTCACCTCGTGGCCTCTGTTCTGATGAAGAACCTTTCTGAGGTTATTGGAGCAGGCTATATCTCTGGACAGACACAAAGTCCAAGCCTCTACTCAAAGCCTTTCCAGTTTGGTAGGATTTGCTAGTGTTGGCAGAGCTTTCCACAATTCAGGGTTACCTCCTCAGGATAATCAGCAGGACTTTAGACTGGGAGAGAAAAAGGGAGATGAAAATTAGTAATTTTAATACCATCATTCAATTGTTAACCATGAGTACTAGAGGTTTTCTTTTTCTCACCTTAGGTGGTATTGGAGACAGTTAAAATTACCAGAGTTTGTAGCCTTTATGAAGGCTAACTATCCCCCTGGATTCACATATGAAGAATTTGCAGTGGAATTTAAAGGAACATTTTTTAATGCCAGCACCTGGGCAGATATCTTGGTGTCCTCGGGTGCCAAGTACGTTGTTTTAACTACCAAACATCATGAAGGTGAGTGAAATACTGAAATAAGGCATTTGTTAAGTGTCTATTATGTGCCAGAAACCGTGTTAAGTGTTGGCATACAAAGAAAGGGGCAAAAAAGCTGATAATGCCTAGGGAAGAGTATAAACCACCACCTTAAATTTTTTTTTGTTACTGTAAGCAAAATATTCACAAGAAATACTAATAAATAAATGAAGATGGGAGAAATCTGTCAGTAAAAGCTAAAATTTAAAATATTTACATTTGGATTGAAGAGGTTTCAGCTAAATAAAAACAGTGCCTTTGCTGTGTTTTTTTCTGAATCCATTTGTTTACTCATCAAGGTCTTCAAGGTCTGTTGAATTTATAAAAATCATGCAGATTTTTCCAAATTTCCTTGTATTCCTGATTTGCTGTTTTCATATTATAATGAGATTGGAGTAGGAACAAGGGTAGAGGACTCACCAGATGGGGGTGGAGGTCTCTGAAGAAATAAACCTCCAGTGGCACCTAATTTGTTCCCACTGGTACCAGAGAGTTCAGTGGCCCAGTTCCGTGTCCAATCCCACCTCTGACACCAATTAATGTCAGCTGGACGGAACTGGCCTCTCACCTGTGGGTGGCCAGAGCTGAACAAAACAGGCTAGCCAAAGATAGTCAGGAATCAAACAGAAGTTTAATTTGAAATTGGGAGAAATAGCTTTCAAGCAAGGACACCTGTGCTGAAGCCCCACCCCTTAGGGAGGGGAGATCTCTGTACTTATACCAGTGTCTATGAAGTGAGCTGTAACTGTGACAATGAGGGGGTAACAGCAACAATAAAACAAGTTTGATTCATAAAAGGGCTTTATGACCAGAAACAATTCTGGGATTTTGCTGTGACTGAGAGAGTGAGTGTAAAGGATTGTTGTTATTCGAACTCAGGGCACATCTTGCTTGCTGGGCCTTAGCTCTGGAAAACAGGATGTCTGTCTTGACAATAATGAAATAGTTTACCACTTCTCCAGCTCACTTTACAGATGAGGAAACTGAGGTAAACAGGGTTAAGTGACTTACCCAGGGTCACGTAACTAGTAAGTGTCTGAGGCCAGATTGGAACTAAGGAAGATGAGTCTTCCTGACTGCTACTTTATCTACTTAGCCATCTAACTGCCTTTAATTATTTAGTGTTGTGTAATAGTGGGCAACTAAATGGCTTAGTGGGCCTGATATCGGGAAGACCTGAGTTTGTCACTGCACTGATCACAGTTTTTAAGTCTTTCCAAGTTGTCTGCCCTTACAATGATGTTTTTATATAAATTCACCTCCTGGTTCTATGAATTTCACTCTGCTTCAGTTCATACAAGTCTTTCCATATCTCTAGCAAAATAGTTTTTCATTACACTCTTATGCCATAATTTGTTCAGTTATTCCCCAACTGATGGATAACCTTTTAGTTTCTACTTCTTTGCCTCTACAAGAAGAGCTGCTATTAATACAGGTCCTTTTCCTCTTGGATCTTTTTAGGGTATAGGCCTAGGAGTAGTATTATTGGGTCAAAGGGTAGGTATGGTTTAATAACTTTTGGAAAATAGCTCCAAATTACTTGTGAGACCAGCTGGATCGATTCACAGCTTTACCAGTAGCAGAGGTAGAATGTGTCTGATTTCCTGTAACACCCCCCAAACTTTGTCATTTTCCTTTGTCATCTTTGCTAATCTGATGGATGTGAGGCAGAACCTTAAAGCTGCTTTAATTTGTATTACTCTGATTATCAATGATTTAGAAGATATTTTCATCTCTATTAAAAGATTTCTTCCTTTGAAAACTGTGTCTATATCCTTTGATCATACATCAGTTATTCTTATAAATTTGAATCAGTTCCTTATATATCTTGGAAATGAGATCTTTATCAGAGAAACCTGCTACAATGATTTTTCACACTTAATTTTCCCTGCTAATTTTAACTGTATTGGTTTTGTGTGTTCTTTTCTTTGTCCTTACCACACTAAGTGGGGGCTTTGGGTTTATCAAACACAAGGCTACAAGGTTTGTCTGATTTTATATGCTGTGTCCCTAATCTGTTTCAGTGGTCAACCTCTATTTTTTAACATACCAAATCATTCTGATGATTACTGCTTTGTATTATAGTTTGAGATTTTGTACACTACGAGGCCCCCTAACTTCCCACTCTTTTCATTATTTCCTTTGAGATTCTTAACCTTTAGTTTCTCCATTTGAATTATTCTTTTTTTTTCCTAGTTCTTTAAAGTAATCCTTTGATAGTTTCAGTGGTATTATATTGAATCAAGTAATTTAGGTAGTATTGCCATTTTTATTATATTAGCTTGGCCTCTCTATGAGCAATGAATATTTCTCCAATTACATAGATTTATATTTCTGTAAAGAGTTTTTGGTAGCCTTTTAGACCCACCACTACTAGAGTTGCCCTTTCTCCTTTTGCTTCCTCTTTTCCCTTCCCTTCTCTCTTTTGCTTCCCCACCATTCTCCCTCCGCCAGCAAAGGCACCAGGAGTTGTCTCCTAGCTTCCAACTCCTTTCTCCAGCTAGTTCTAGAACCCATCCCAGCTGCTTAACTGTTCACCTCTGCCAGTTAGTTTGATGAGATGTCACCAATTCTTTTCCTTCTTGTGGAAGAATGATGAGGAGGAGGATCACCAAGCCTTACTGTCCATTCAACCACTGTCTTCTACCGTTCTCCAAGCCTTACCATCTGCCCTATGGATCCCCAGCACTGCCACCTGGCTTGCTGATACAACCTCAGTAACCCTGGGCTTTGCCATCTGACTCACTACCCCTTTAGGACAGCCAGCCTTTTTTATCCTCTCTATTGCTGAACTTTCTTTTGTATGTTGTCTCCCTCAGCTAAAGTGAGGTCTTTGGAAACAGACTGTCTAGCTTTTTCTATTTATTACCCCATCATTTAGCACAGTGGTTGGCACAAAGTAAGTATATAATAAATGCTTTTTCATTCATAGTCCCATCAGTGGGTTAGCTGTGTGCTGGCCAAATTGCTTACCAAAAATTTCTTTAGTCTATATCCCCACCAACAGTTGGATATGTTTCCTTGAAATGTTGCCAACAACAAATTTTATAATTTTTTTTGCTACTTTTGCCAATTCTGTGGGTGCTATCCTAAGGTTGTCTAGATTTTTCATTTCTCTGATTATGTAAAAAACTATGGTTATTTTCTCCAAAAATGGTCAGTTCATGTCATTATAATTGTAGTTATACAATTATAACTATATAACTGTAAGTGTATCATGTCTTTACAATTCTCAATGTCATTTCTTTATCTGACATAGTTACCACAAATGTTTTTCCCAATCTTTTTCTTTTCTTATTTTATCAGTGTTGCTTTTTGTCATGTAAAATCTTTTTCTGTATAAACTCGTGGTATTTGGTATGAAGTATGACTATAAACTGATCTTCACCATGTAGTTATGAGCAATTTCCTTATGAAGAAGAAAATAAAGGAAAGTCATCCATTTTGAAACTATATTTTTTCAATGGAGAAAAGAAATGAGAGACAATTATCATTTCTTTGCAAGTTAGGGAGCCAGTTTCTGCTGTTCATGTTCACACTGAACCTGAAAGTATAATGAATTCAGAAATGTTGTGCCCTCAAAAAAGAGTAGGGAGAAATAATTTCATCTTGTAACAGACATATAATGAAGATATTTTGTAGGCCATCTTTAGGAGTTCAGTAGAAGAATGTGAGTCCTATAAGGGGAAAGGATCATTTCTTTTTTCTCTTTGTAGCCCCAGCTCTATTTTAGGGGCCACAATGAATTTCATTTTCACAAGTTTCTTCTAAAGGATATTCTTTCCATAGAGATTTATTTTTAAGATGTCTTTGACTTGTGAATATTTTGATTTCCTGGTGGTGTCTGGTTACCTCCCCAAACTGTGTTGCACGTTCGCAGTGAGCTGGGTTTTTGTTTTGTTGTTGTTCATTCTTCATTCTTGAAGAGGACCAATAACATCAGAAGGTTTTGATGTTTTGACTTGTGAGTTGGATTTAAGTGAGGCAGGGCTGTGAAAAGTCATCAGCCTTACTCTCTCCTCCAGAGTCCTTGGAGTACAATGGCAAAACATAGGTCAAGACAACTGGTGATGGCCCCTGCTGAGTTTTTAGCATTTGTATCTAGTGGGCTGACAGGTGATAGATAATAGATTCTTTGGGACTCATGCTGTCATGTACAGGGGATGTAGCTGCTGAACTCTCTTAGATGGGTAAACCACAGTGCTTGATGTTATTAAGCTAAAGATCCCCATATGGTAGACATTTTGGACTGCTAAGTTGAGAGACTTTAGGTGGGATTTTATAAATATCAGTACTGCATTGAAACCTACTATAATTCTGTGATCTTCAGAACAAGAAGACATTTAAAAATTTTCCTTGTTACAAATCAAAAGTGAGGCAATCCTAGAGTCTATTTTTACTCATAAAAGTTGAAGAAAATACCGCTTTCCAAGATGCTTGATGTTCCTCTGGCACCAAAAAAGTGTCTTTCCTTTGGATCTTAATGAATATCAACAAATCTGATTCTCTCTTTAGGAGACCCAGGGAAATTTCCAAATCTTCTATATTATTATACAGAAGTTTTGGAGGAGTTTATGTTTTATGTCTCTTTATATAAAAAGACCAGGATTTAGTAGGCTCTTTTCAGGTATGAATTATTCAAAAGGGCTAGCAAAATGGCACACAAAATTGTTTTTTCATTCACTTAGTTTTATAGAAAATTAAAATCAGTAACTTCTACTGCAATGCTCATAACTACAGGGTATTACAAAATTAAATATAATGTCTGCATTTCAAAGTAGAGCATGTGATAATGCAGAATGATTGGGAAATGGTCCTCTGTTTAGTTGAGTTTTGGTTTAACTGAGGTTTACCTCAGTTTGGCTATCTAAATTACCTAAATTTGGCTTGCTAAATTTCAGAAAATTGGAATACAAGACGGTGAACCTTTCAGTGCCTCAGGCAGGACTATGGAGGGGTAGGGAGGGAAGCTGAGTGAAGTGGGATGAGGGCTCCAGCAAGTTGATCAAAATCTTTTGGTTGCTTTTGAATCTGTAAATCATTGATCTCTAAATCAGCTGCTAAGTCTGTGTTCTCCTTTCCTGGCAATAACTTAAACAGCATCATCTTCCCCTTCCAGAAATGATCCCAAGGCCGAGGATATTAAAAATAGTTCTTTATCAGGCAGTAGGGCAGCTATGTGACACAGTGGATAGCGCGCTAGGCCTGAAGTCAGGAATACTTGAGTTCAAATCTGGACTCAGACACTTACTAGCTATGTGATCCTGGGCAACTCACTCTATCTCTTTTTGCCTCAGTTTCTTCATCTGTAAAATGGGAATAATCATAGTGTTTACCTCTGAGGGTTTTTGTGAGGATCAAATGACATATTTGCAAAGTGTTCTGCAACCTTAATGAGTTATATAAGCGCCAGCTATGATGATGAGGATGATAAGTCAAAAAGCCTATATTAAATACCTACTTTGTGCCAGGCACTGTTACGTGTTGGGGACACAAAATGCAGATCCTGCTCTCCAGGACAACATGTAAACAATTGTGTACAAATAAGATCTCTCCAAGATACAGACAGGATACATTAGAGATAATCAGTAGAGGGAAGGCACTAAGATTAAGGAGTACCAGGACTTTATCTGGCACTCAAGCAGGAAGCCAGGAAGTGAGGATAAGGATTAGAAGAATTAGGCTAATGCTTTTTTGAAGGTCTCTGATAGAAGCTTGTCATTTGTTCTTTTGTATACAAATTGAGAGTAAGGGGAAAAAGAATAAAATCTAAATTAAAAAAAAAAACTTGGATTCTGTACAAATAAGAGTTACTATGAACAAGATACACATTTATTTATACCCAGTGAGAGGCAGTATGGTGTAATGGATAGTGAACATCAGGAAGAGTTTAAGTACTTCTGTTTACAGGCTCAGTAACCTTGATAGCTCAGAGCCCCAGGCAGCTTTATAAAGTGGTAAATAACCAAGAATGGCTAATCTGCTTTGGTAGAAGCAATTTCTGTTATCCTTTTGCAGAGGAAATCACAGTGATCCATACAAAAAACAAAGCAACATATACACTGCACAAGCCAGAAGTATTTATAAAGATTTTCTGTTTCCCATTCTGTTTTTCAGGTTTCAGTCTCTGGAAATCTAATAATTCATGGAACTGGAATTCTGTTGATAGGGGGCCAAGAAAGGACATTGTAAAAGAAATGGAAGTAGCCATTAGAAATAGGACCAAGATGCACTTTGGCCTGTACTACTCCCTTTTTGAATGGTTCAACCCCCTTTTCCTTGAGGATCAAGCTAATTCTTTCCAGACAAGATATTATCCACCCTCTAAATGCTGGCCTGATCTCTATGAATTAGTGAACACATACAAACCTGAGATTCTTTGGTCCGATGGTGATGGAGATGCACCAGATACCTACTGGAACAGCACTGGCTTCTTAGCCTGGCTGTATAATGACAGGTATAAAAGTTTATAGGTTTCTATAGTTACTATGAACTCTTATCATTAAATTGGTAATATTTTAAGTTCCTCAATTCCTGTTTTTTTGGTGATGAGTCAGTGTATACAATGTTTCCACATTCTTGTGTCCAAAAATCTTTGTCTTTTTTTGAACCTTTTGTCCATCACCTATCAGGAGGTTAATAACATGCTATGTTATAGCATGTTAATAACATGCTATAGGTCCACTGGAGACATAGTTGGTCACTCATTACATTGATCAGAGTTTTTAAGTCTCTCAGAGTTGTTTTCCTTTATAATATTATTGTCTTTGTATAAATGGTTCTTATGGTATTACTCATTTCAGTCTGCATCAGTTCACACTACCCAGGATTCCTTGAAATTGTCCCATTTGTCATTTCTTATAGCACAATAATATTCTACTGCGTTCTTATAATACAACTTGTTTAGTCATTTCCTAATTGTCTAAGAGGTAGTCTATGGTATATACCATCCCCCCACCTTAGTTCTTTGCTTTTTTTTTCCTCCTTTAGGATCAGAAAGTTTCTTTTGCTTACAGTGTTTTCCTCCCTTTATTGTCCACTGTTTTATCACCATCCTTCCTCCCCAGACCCATCCCTGTTTCCTTGTTCATTCTGGTGTTTCTATACCAAACTCGTGTGTGTGTGTGTGTGTGTGTGTGTGTGTGTGTGTTCAATCTTTTTTCTGTTTGGAGAGGAGTGAGGTTCACCTGAAGCACACTTCCTCCATCCCTTCTTCTATGTTTATTTAGTCTTCTCATGTACTCCACTTATGAGAAATAGTAAGCTCCATTTCCTTCTTCCCCCTTTGTATACTGCCTTTTATCCTCCCTTCTCATTTTCTTTTTCAAAGTGGTAGAACAGAAGAACCATTTTGCCCTTTAGTAGAAAGAACTCTAGATTTGGAGTCAGGAGAGTTCTGGCCTTGACACCTCCACCCCTGCAGCTATGGGCAAGTTATTTAAATCTCTGATTCAGTTTCCTTATTTATCTAGTAAGGACAAAAATAACACTGACCTCACAAGGTTATTTTGAGTGTTAAATGAAGTGATGTATGTAAAGTGCTTTGCAGACCTTAAAGCCGTATACAGATGCCAGGTATTACATGGGAACCTTTCTGTATAGTTTTGGATAGCATTAAGTAACAAAAGCTCCAAATCACTTGCCCAATGTAGATTACAACTGGAAAAAGTGAAGAGGACTGGATAAATCTGACTTACAGTCATGAGTTTCTAAACCAAAATTTCCCATGATTTTTATTGTCAAAACATGAGTTTCTAAGCCAAAATTTCTCATGATTTTTCTTGTTATTAAAATAGACTGTATTTTTCATTTTTAGCCCAGTTCGGGATACAGTTGTAACCAATGATCGCTGGGGCCTTAATAACATCTGCAAGCATGGTGGCTTCTTTACCTGCAATGACCGTTACAACCCTGGATACCTCTTGCCTCACAAGTGGGAAAACTGTTTGACAATAGACAAGGAATCTTGGAGTTACAGGAGGGATGCTAAACTCTCCGACTACCTCACAATTGAAGAAATAGTGGAGGTATGGTAAAATATACACTAACTACTGATATGGTAGTTGTGCAAGGCACTAGACACAGGAATCAGGAGGTCTGGGTTCTGGTCTTGGCTTTTTCACTAAGTGGGTTGTGGGACCATGGCCACATTGCAACCTATTTGAGTCTCAATATATTGGATTAGATGACCACTAAGGATTCTCCAAACTCTACAATTCTAGGCTTAATGTTTTCCTACAGTATAACTCAAAGTGGAAAACTGCTTTGATCCATTAATACAAAGTAACATTTAATTATGAGCATCCATTCATATTTGCTACAGTGGAAGGGCACCTAGCCTGAGAGTCATAAGAAAGATCTAGGTTCAAATCCTGACTTTGCTACTTGCTAGTAATGTGACCTTGGACAAATTATTTAACTGCTTTGAGTCTCAGTTTTCATCATTAAAAAGGGAGATACATTACTTACCTCTATGGTTCATTGTAAGGATTAATGATCTTATGTATGTAAAGCATTGTATAAACCATAAATTGCATATGGATGTGTTATTACATACTTGATGGATTACTACATACGTGTGTGTTATACAAGGAGTTTTAAAAAGGCGCACCAAATATGGAATTATTTTAAAGTAAATAATAATAAATCAACTGAGAATATTTGCAAAGTGCTCAGCACAGTGTCTGGCACATAGTAGGCACTTAAATGCTTGTTCCCTTTCCATCTCTTCTCATAACAACAACAATTAACAGTAATGCTACAATTGTACCCTTTAATCTTTTAGCAACTAATGGAAACAGTTTCATGTGGAGGAAACTTTTTGATGAATATTAGTCCCACAAAAGATGGCGTTATTCCTCCAATATTTGAAGAACGTTTGAGGCAAATAGGAACCTGGATGCAAGTCAATGGGGAATCCATTTATGGAACCAAACCTTGGCGAGCACAGAATGACACGATCACACCAAGAGTCTGGTGAGTGGTTTGATTTTTTTTTTTCCAAATACTAGATCTGGGACTTCCTTTACTGGGCCTTCGCCTGGTGAGGGACTTCCTTTACCAATGCAGATGGACACCTTCTCTGTAACTTATAACTTCAGAGGGTTGCCTAGGGCCCCAAGAAGTTAAATGACTTGCCTACAGTCAGAGGCAGGATTTGAACCCAGTTTTCCTGATTTGTGAGGCCATACTACACTATGGGTTAACTAATATAAAATACTGGGTAGAAAGGACTGCTTGACTGCTTGTGTTTGTGAGGTAAGAGAAAATGGAACACTCTTGATTCTGTATACAGGAGGGTAGAGGCCTTTCTTCAGAACAGATGTGCTTTTAAAATCACACAATAAACAACTAAGTGGGCTATAAGATTATTGCTCTTTATCCTGAAAAAAAAAGTCTTAAATATTCAAAGGAGGAGAGAGTAGGTATAGGTGAGGTCAGGTAGCATCTTCTTGGCCTCAGAAAGCACCTGGCCAATATTGATTTGAAGGACTGCCCGTGTGTAAGTGGGATTAGCTTATTCTTTTTGACCTCACAGGGATGAACAAAGGGAAATGGGTAGAGATAATATAGAGAATAATATAGAGAAAATATATTTTGAGGTAGATTAAAATCAAAGCTAACACTTTTGAGTTAAAAAACACGATTTTCAGAGAATTAAAAACATTACTTGTTTTTACTAAATTAAAAAAAATCACTGGTTTCTTTTTATTGTCTTTTCTTCAAAGTTCCAAATCACTTATGTCTCTGCATTGGGCAGTTGCCAACCTGTAGTTCTACTCATCTTAAAATAGATTACCCAATCTATTTTTTTTACCCAACTGGGTATTATTACCCAATTATTATTACCCAATCTGTATATGAGCCTGCATTAAAAGAGATAAAGAAGCACAATAGTCATATAGAATACAGTGAATTCAGAGTGCCTAAACTCAACTGGAATAACTAGAACATGAGTTGGAGCATGAGTCATTACAGTAGCCTAATGTTTAGCCTCTATTCTTATTTGTTGTGTGACTATATGTAGTTATATAGTTATGTAATATGTAGTTAGCTCTTAATTATCCATACTAAATGGAGAGGAGCCAAATAAAGAGACTATAAAATTAAAGGTAATTTTAAAATCATTTGGAATATTTTTTCCTTATTTGCATTTGAATGTAGGAATATCTGATATTCTGAACATTAATTTTTGGATAAGAATCAAGATTTACCATGGAGACTTGACTCAGGAGAAAGTGGCAAGCTTTCAATGTTCTATATTCAGCTACTCCTTTTCCTGCTACCCACTCAATGCTGCTAAAAAGTCTAAACCTAGACAAAGATACCACTAACTAATCTTTCCAGGGACAATTTTTTTTTAATTTCAAAGAGAAGTAAAAGTACAGATCTACCTTACCTAATAGCTAATTCTACGAAGATACAAATTCAAGAGAAAGCAGTATTACAAGGAATAGTGAATGTCACAGGAACAAGATAATAAATAGGAAGTATAATTCTTGGGACATGAAGATCCTACTGCTGAGTAAAGTAGAGCTCTGAACCTGGGCTAGGCTAGGTTTGTGATGGACTGAGGCTCCAGGAAAGTTCAGAGGAGGGTCTAAGGGTTGGGTGGTTGGAAGTGGGAGGAATACAGGGCAGAGCAAATAGGCTAGCTTAAAGGTGGCTTTATGCAGGGGGGACAAAGGGTCAGAAAGCAGGGACTGTTAGACTGCTATCTGGTGATTGAATTAACTGATGTGACATCACAGTGGAATTTTACATTGTTAAGGTGGGGTTTGGGCTATATTCCATTGACATTAATGTGAAATACTGTATATTGGAATCACTTAACATGGAACGGAGTTATGGCTCCAAGAGAACAGTGTGTCAGTATGGTATATATCTATGAACAGAGGAACAATTATCAGCAAGAGCTTGAGAGTAAGATTTGTGGATAAAATTCAGATAGCTAATTCTTTATTTGTTAAGACTTCAGTAAACTGTCTTTAAAAAATAGTGTTTTGATAAAATATATCTAGACCTAACTCATAACCAGGATGCAGGAATTTTTTTAGCTGCTTAAACTTTTGTTTTAATGGTCTCTTCTTTTCCTGCCTACCCTTTTCTTTTAAAAATAGGTATACATCGAAACCTAAAGAAAATCTGGTCTATGCTATGTTCCTTCAGTGGCCGTCATCAAGGATAGTGGTACTTGACCAGCCCATAGCAACTGTTGGGGCAACAGAAGTAAGAAAGAATTTCATTAATCTTTCTATTTCTGTAAATTTACTATGTGGGATTTCCTGATAAAAAATAAATATATATACAATTCCAATTTTAATTTAATGAACTAAAAGGTAGTCTTATATACAAGAGAAATGCCCAATAACTTTATAGTGATTATATATCAGCATTTATATATAAAAATACTTTTTGCCAGACACTTTATTAAGAGCTAGAGATGGGAAAAAAGGCAGAAACACAGTCCTTGCCCTTAAGGAGCAATTCTAATGGGGAAAGAAAATGTGCAAAAAAATTGTACATACACAATTTATACAATTTAAATGGAAAGTAGTCTCAGAGGGAAGGCACTAGCAGTGAGGGTTCAGGGAAGATGGGAGGAGGAGGACTGGGAAAGGCCTCTTGCAGGAAGAACTGGATCAGAGTCTTGAAGGAAGACTGGGAAGCCAGGAGGCAGAGTTGAGGGGATTGGAACTGGATAACGAGGGCAAAGGCACAGAGTCAGAGAGATGGAGTATAGTCTTCAAGGAAAAGCAAAGGCCATTGTAGCTGGGTTGTTGAATATGTGGAGGGTAGTAAAGTATAAGACTGGAAGGGTTAGAAGAAGCCAGATTGTAAAGGACTTTAAAAGCCAAACAGAAGATTTTATATTTGCTCTTGGAGATAATAGGGAGCCAGTGGCATTTGTTGAGGAGAGGAGTGACGTGATCCGATCTGCTCTTTAAGAAGATCACTTTGGCAGTTCAGGAGTGGGTTGGAAAAGGGAGAGGCTTGAGGTAGGGAGGCAAACCAGAAAGTCATTATAATAGTCTGGAAGTCAAGTAATAAAGGCTTGCACTGGAGTAGCAGCTGTGTGAGTAGTGAAATAAAGATGTATATGAGAAATGTGAAGGTTAAAGCGGTAAGACTTAGCAACAGATTGGCTTTGTTGAGTATGTGCACATAAGGATTGGGTAACTTAAGTGATCATACAAGTAAAATAATTTTTTGAAGCCTTTAAAAATTTGGGTTCAATGGTAGTCATTTCAAAGAAAACTAAAATTTTAAAACAACCATAATCATATGAATATAAAATATCCAGATACTGCTTTGCAATATAATTAACAATTAAGGTTCCTTTAAATTAGATCTTTTACTATATTTTCCAATTTGATGGGTAGGAGGTGACTACTTCAATTAATTTACATTTCTTCTTTTGAAAACTATTAGCTCATATCTTTTGACCACTTATGAGGAGTTGTTCTTGGTCATATATGTGTGTGAAAATTCCCTAGGTATCTTTGATGTAATTTTATCATATGTTAGATAGAAATTTTTTAAGGGACTCTCCATCCTTTATATGTTAGTAGCTGGGGGCTGAAGCTATTGCTCAAATCAATATAGTTGGATAATCATTTAAAGATTATTACTGTTTCCCCTGCCCCACTTAATACTATCATAAAAGGTTGCTCTGTTTGCCCTGTCTGGTTAGTAGTACACATCTCATTTAATGAACTTAGGATGCAACATTAAATTACTAATATGAGTTCACCAAGGGGACCTGGCTCCATTACCAGATACAGAGTGTCTACTTCAGGGTGGATGGGAGAATTATCATTTTCTGTTAATAAATTTGGTGTTTTTTAAAGGAAAAAATAAAAATAATGAAACTGAAAATGGATGAATAAAAGCAATGCACTTCCGGTGATTTTTTTTTTCAACTTAATTGCAGGTGAAATTACTGGGTTATGAACATCCACTTAAATGGACTTCTTTGCCAAATCACGGAATAGTGGTGAAACTTCCAGAGCTAACCGTTGATGAAATGCCATGTAAATGGGGCTGGTCTCTAGAAATGAAAAATGTAAAGTGAATGATGCACACTCATTCTCAAGTTTAAAGTTTGCCTACATTCTGCTCTTTGTGGAAGAGGAAGCTGCTACAAGTGAACGTAAGGCTTGAATCCCTTCACGTTCAGGACAAAAAGCAAAATGGAGAACCAGGAGAAGAGCCAAAGTAAACCAAAGAGTAGAAGTAATTATCTGGTTGATAAGGGTTTGTTTTAACCCTGAATTTCCCAATTAATTGCTTCAGTTTTCTAACATGCTTGGTCATCAGAGACTTGCTAGACTTGTTAGATTTGTGGGGGGGGGGGAGGGAGAGGGGAGGATTTTAAAGGGGATATTTGTTTCCTCAAATGAACTGGCAATTGATATCCTAGAAATCAAATGATTGTAATCATGTACAGGTAATTTGTTTTGCTTTTCACCATTTTTTCTTAGCTTTAATCCTTTGGACAAAGCTCATCTAGGGCTAATTTAAGGCCCAACTTCTGACTCTTCTGTTAGAAACCAAGAAGGCTATTGTTCTGATGTTGTGATCAGAAAAAGTATACTTCATTCTGACACAGGTTCATCATTAACTCAAGAAGAAAATTAAGAACTTACTACTTTTTGTTGCTGACTGGACTAAAGTGAATAGCTAGAGATAAGGCCTCATTTTGAATGTTAGATGTTTTCGATTTGCCTATTATCAATCAAATAAATCAGCTACTGGCTACTTTATAATTTGTCTATCCAGAGTTACTGTAATGAAAGAACATTATTTTGTACCTTTGTTTTGATGGAGTTATTTTTTTCCTAAATAAATTTCTGCTTTAGGCATGATAAAGACATTCTAATATAATATGCTGATATATTTTAGTTTAAGAATAAAAACGTTTTCTGGGTTTTCACAAACAACCGGTAATTATAAGACTATGTCAAAAAAAAAAAAGCACCAAGAATTAGAGTACATTTTGGGATACACTTCATAAATACTAATTTGTTCTCCCTCAAAGTCCTTCTAACAGTATTCTCCTTACAGTAAACACACTGTGAAAAAATCTATAGTACATCATACAAATGCTTTGGCAGGGAAGGGACCAGTGTTGACAGTTGTCCACTCATAAAGTGTTGCTAACTTTTTGTTTGACAGGGAATCTTCTAGGCAAAAACCTATTAGTAAGGGAAGGTACTATATTTATTTTTAGTTCTCTCTTTGTGTGGGAGTGTATAGGACAATAAAGAGCTTAAAATTTTTTTAGATGTTTACAAATGCTTGTCTTTATTGGCCAGACATTGCTTTCAGTAGATAACCCAGAGAAAACAATAGGTAAATATTAATAAAATATTATTAAATATTAACTGTTCAGTCCCTATGAAGACCTTTTAAATACTTGAAAGATAAATGCAAACTGGGAAATCATACTGAAAAACAAAATTTTATTATAATAACTAACTTCACATAGCACCTTCAGAAAAGTACAGGTAGCTTTTATATTATGCTATTGTCCAATTTTTTCCTCAAATTACCCTGAGGTACTTTGTTATCAATTTAGAAAAGACAGCCATGTTAAAGGAAACAGTCAATTAATATTTATTAAACATCTATTATATGCCAGTCACTGTGCTAAGCATTGGCTTAGCACAAAAGAATAAAAGAGTACCTGCTCTCCAGGAGCTCAGAATCTAATGGAGATGATATACAAACAATTATGTACAAACTAACTATATAAAGGATAAATGGGAAACAATCAACAGAGAGAAGGCCCTGGAATTAAGGAGAAGTCTTTTATATTTGATCCTAGACGTGATAGGGAGCCACTGGAGTTTGAGTACATGGTCAGACTTGCACTTCAGGAAGGTCACTCTGACAGCTGAGTGGAGGATGTACTAGAATGCAGAGAGACCAACGAGCAGGTTGCTACAATAGTTCCAAGTATGAGGTTGTGAGAGCCTGCAATAACATGGTAGCAGTATCAGGGGAGAGAAGGGGGATGTTACAAATGAGAGATGTTACAGAAGTAAAATGGACAGGCAACACATTGGATTTGGTGGGGAGAGAGTTAGGAGTTGAGGATGACACCTGAGCTACAGTAGGGCTAAAGCCAACAGGATCTCTACACTAAGTCTGATACTAATGTAGTGAACCCCCAGGATTGCAGGGCCACTGGTCAAGCGGCAAACTAGCATTGATGGGAAAAATGGAGCAGGTAAGTGATTCTGTGCTAATCAGTATACAACCTGGGTGGGATAGGGAGACCCACTCACACAAAATTTTTTTTTAAAAACTGTGTTTTAAAGCTAAGGATAATTAATTTCAAGCATATCCTTTGTAGTCTAGTTGTCTTCTCTATAGATGGCAACTATTTCAGGTGATTTCTGATTCAATTATCAGTCCTATGTTCTTATTGATCAAGACACACTTACTTAGTGTTTCATATTCTCTCCAGATGCTAAATTATGTACAATCTGGTTGTCCTCGATATATATCGAGAAGAAACTCACAAGTCACTATTTTATATATATTTACTTGGCTCTGCTCAAAAATAATTCTGCCTTCACTCTCATAAACCCCTGGAGTTGGGGAGAACTGGGTTTAAATCCCACTTCAGATAAGTCATGTAATCTCTCAGTTCCTCAGTTACCTTCCTGAGACTTGGAATTGCAGAACAGTTGCAAATCTGTGCTGTGTTGATAGAGGTAGCTTTCTCACGGGGAGTGCTCTGTACCAATGAAATCACAGGCCAAGACACACATAGGTATATTTGTCCTGGTCTCTCATAGTCAAGAGAAGGTCACCCTCTTCTTTAATGTTCCCTAGTTATTTTTAATTAACATTTATTTTCTCCAATTATGAAGCATTTATTTTTTTTCCCTAACATCCTGCCCCTCCAAGAAAAATAAAACCCTTGTAATAAACATAGTCAAACAAAACAAATTTCCACATTGACTATGTCCCCAATCACCTCTATCAGGAGATGGATAACATTTTTCATTATCAGGGCATGACCTCCTTTTTCTTAAATTTTATTTTTTTCAACAAACAAAAATCTCTACTTTCCACTTTCCCCCTACCTCCCCAACTGGGGGAAAAAAACCCATAATAAAACCCTTGTAACAAAGGTGTATAGACAAATTCCTGCACCAGCCATGTCAAAAAAAAGTATGTTTCAATTTATACCCTCGGTCCATCACCTCTGTTAGGAGATGGGGAGCATATTTCATCACGAATCCTCTGAAGTTGTGGCTGGTTATGGTACTGAACAGAGTTAAGTCCTCCCAGGTTGTTTGTCTTTACGATGTTGTTATTGTATAAATTGTTTTCTAGGTTCTATTCACTGTGCATCAGTTCATAACATGTCTTCCAGGGTTTCTATGAAAGTGTTCCCTTCATAATTTCTCACAGTTGAATAGTATTCCTTTCCATCACATTCATATACCATAATTTGTTCAGCCATATTTCAATTAATGGGCACCCCCTTAGTTCCCAATGCTTTGCTACCTCTAAAATGTTTCAACTTTTGTACGCGATTCCTTTTTCTTCTTTCTTTGATCTCGATATTCTGACCTACTTAGCTCTCATAGTCTCCCCTAGTTAATTTTAAGATTTTGGAGAAGAGCTTTCTCTTGAAGGCTCCTCACTCAGCTTCTGGACTAGCCTGGGCTCAGAAAATCACAGAATTTCAGAGATAGAAGGTACTTTAGTGTCCATACAGTCCATCCCACACCTGAAAAGAAATCACTTCTACAATGTACTTGAAAAGTGGTTGTATGCTTCCCTACCGTCTACAAACATGTCCATGTCTCGCCATCCTTAAACAACTTTTCACTTGATACGTCTATTCCTGCTAGCTATTGTCCTATTATCTCCTTTTGTGGCTAAACTCCTTGAGAAGGCAGTCTACAAGAGGTACTTTCCTTTTTTAACTCTTTGCAGTCTGGCTTCCAACCTCATCACTCAACTAAAACTGCTCTCTATAAAGTGACTACTGATCTTGACAAATCAAATAGTTGTTTCTCAATTATCATACTTCTTGACTTCTCTGCAGCCTTTGACAGTGTTGAATACCTTTTCTTCTTGATATTCTCTTTTATGTTTTTGTGACACTGTCATCTCCTGGTTTGTCTCCCACCTGTCTGATGGCTTCTTTGTCTCCTTTGCAGGATCTTCACCCACACTGTGCCTGGTAACTGTGGGGATCCCCAAGGCTCCATACTAGACCCTCTTCTGCCTCTATACTATTTTACTTGATGATCTCATCACCTCCCATGATTTCAATTATCATTTCTAGGAAGATAACTCTCAGATCTACCTGTTCAATCCTAACCTCTTTACTGACCTCCAGTCTCGCTTCTCCAACTGTCTTGAATGGGATGTCCTTAAGATATCTTAAAAGTGTCTATTCTGAACTCATGCTTTCCCCTAAAACCCTCCCCTCCTAACTTCCCTACTACCATTGAGGGTCTCATTTCTCCTTTAACTCTGCAACTATCTTGTTGCAGGCCTTTATCACTTCATATTTGGATGATTGCAGCAACTTCCTCATTGGTATCCCTGCCCTGAGTCTCTCATCATCTCCAATCCATCCTCCACTTAGCTGTCAAACGGACCTTCCTACAAGTGCAGGTCTGACAATATCATCTCCTTATTTAATAAACTTGAGGTTCTCTATCACCTCTGTGATCAAGTATAAATTCCCTTTTAAAATATTTAGTAACCTGGTCACTTCCAACCTTTCCAATCTTCTTACATCTTACTCCCCTGCACACCTTCTATGTTATACAGTGACCCTGGCCTCCTTGATGTTCCTCCAATAAGACAACTCCTATCTCCCAACTCTGGTGGTTTTCAATGCTTATCTCCCATGCCTTGAATACTCTCCCTCTTCATTTCAATCTTCTAACTTCTCTGACACCTTAAGGTCTCAGCTAAAGTCCCACCTTTTGAAAGAAGGCCTTCTTGTTCCTCCTTAATCCCAGTGCTTTTTCTGAGTCTACATCCAATTTACCCTATTTATAGCTTGTTTGCATGTTGTCTCTTCCATTAGACTGTGGGCTCCTTGAGAGCAGAGACTGTTTTTGCCCTTCCTTTGTATCCCACAGTGCCTGATACATAGTAGGTGCTTAATAAATGCTCAATGAAGGGCAGCGAGGTGGCGCAGTGGATAAAGCCCTGGAGTCAGGAGGACCCGAGTTCAAATCCAGCCACACACATTTGACACTTACTAGGTGTGTGGCCCTGGGCAAATCACTTAACCCTGACTGCCTCACCAAAAAGCAATCAATCAATAAATGCTCAATGACTGAATTTTCTTGAAGACCTCCACTGAGATTTCTCACTATTTCCCAAGATAGCACATTCAACTTCTAGATACCTTTAAGTGTTTGGAAGTTTTTTTTCCAACAAAAAGTCTAGATTCATTTATCTGTTTTGTGTTTCACCTGCTGCCCTCCAGACACTTGCAGATAGTGATTATGCCTCCCACCTTGAGTCTTCTACAAGCTAAACATGTCCCCATGTATTTCACCCAGTTCTCACTTGGCATGAACTTAAGTCTCTTCACTGTTCTGCATCCCCTCTTCTGGATACTCTTCAGCTTACCAATGTCCTTTCTAAAAGGGTGGTACTCAAAACTGGAAGGAAGGAAACAAGAAGTTATTAAGTACTTACTACGTGACAGACAAAAGTAAAACAGTCTCTGTCCTCAAGAAGCTTACATTTTATTAGAGGTGGGTAGGAATGATGTGTACACAGGTAAACAAAATATATAAAAATTTTATCCAAAGT